GACCGGTCTCGTCTTCCAAACTCTGCCTGCCCCTACAGTGATAGTGTCCGCGAGCTATAGTCTTGACCCTAGTCATGGCCTGCAAAATGAAAAAGAAAACTTGCAAGGGAAGTCAGTGCCAATATAAAGAATTAAAGCACAGTTCATAGAATCATGTATGTCAAATAAGACAGACAAAACAGATAAAGAATATGAATCTATGCAAGTGACAAGGGATAAGTGACATAATGTAAAACATGCTAGACAGGATAAGTATGAAATGCATCCAATGTGGAAAACACAGGCATTGGGCATGTATGAGATAGCATGAAACACAATAAATGATGGATGAAGTGTGTGTTGCAAATCTATGAAATTCGATCGATCACAAAAATTGTGAGATCGATCTCACTTGGATCGATCTTAAAAATGAGAAATCGATAAAAGTTCGATCGATCTTAAAAATGAGAAATCGATAAAAGTTCGACCGATCTTAAAAATGAGTGGGATCGATCTCACTCAGATCGATCGGAGAAAGATGTTTGATCGATCGAACTCTGTAACAGAAAACGAAGAACAGATCTGTGACGTGGATGGCACGGGGCCTTCACGAACATGGTCGTGGGCCCATCAACACAACAAACATTAATCTTAGTCACTGGATTCGGCCCATAACTCCGAAAATCAAATAAAATTCAGAATCTATACAAAACATATATACATATATATACACATATAAACACAGAGGTTGAAGCTTCATCAATGGAGGTAGGCATCATGAAAACAACTTAGATCTAACAGTTAAAACATGTGTTCATGAAATCGAAGCTTGAATCAAAGAGGTGAAGTCTCGGATCTTACCGGAATTAAGAGAGAAGGTGAGATGAAGATGAGGTCCTAGATCCGAGAAGAGAGAGATTCAACGTTCGCCGGAGTCTCGCCGGAGATGGAGAAGATGGGATGCAGCGGCGAAGTGGGAACGAGGGTTTGAGATCGATTCTTGTGAAATCGATCGAATGACCCTGAATCGATTTTTAAAAACATTCCCTTACCAGTTCGATCGATCGAACTGAATCCTTAGATCGATCGAACTGTAATGATCTCTCCTCTTAAGTGATAAAGTATTTTTGGGATTTTTGAAAAATAAAAAGTAAAAATAAATAAAATAAAAAGTAAAAATATTTTTAGGATTTTTTTTTTTTTTTAGAATTTTTGAAACTTTTGAAAAATTTTAAATTTTAAATTTTAAAAATTAAAAATTAAAAATTAAAAATTGAAAATATTTTTGGGTTTTTGAAAAATAAAATAAAAGAAAATGAAATAAAATAAAATCTTTTTCGATTTTAAAATTTGAAAGTCAAAACAAAGTCAAAGATAGCGAGATGAAGAACAGAGGTCGATCTGAACAAAATGTTCGATTAATCTGGCAGAGTGGTAAAAATATGCAGGTTTTTGGGTTCAAAAATTTTCTAAGTGTTGGGTACTGCAGATCGATCCAATGGTAAAGTTGGATCGATCGAAGAAGTTTAGATCGATCTATGAATGTCGTCGATCAATGAGACAGAGAGCTGAAATATGCAGGTTTGTGCAGGCTCAAAATTTATCTAAGTGTTGGAACTGAAGATCGATCGAACTTAAAGTTTGGATCGATCTAAGGACTTCTGATCGATCTGAGAACAAATTCGATCGATGGGACAGAGAGGTGATTTGGATGTAGGTTGAATGCAGGTCGAAAATTTTTGGATTCAGGTAGAAGTTCGATCGATCGAATACTCCTTGAAGATCGATCAAATTTATGCAAAATGCTTAATTCCAACATGAAAGTGCATGCAATCCTAATCACAGGTCCTAGCAATGCATATGAACCCAAAGCAAATATCTATACTTCGCAAGAAATGAAATGTAAGATAGAAATGAGGGAGAAATAGGGTTTTGACACCCTACGAAATACTTTTGCTAATCTTTAACGTCTCTAGCAGGACTTTGGGCACTTTTAGCTCGGATTAAAAATCTTATAATGCATCCCCTCCTTATTGGGGTTATAAGTGTTTTGAACTCCACCCAACAAATGGTTCTTTAAGGAACTTGTTGGATTAAGCTCAAAAGAAATTTTTGGTCTTTGGTCAAAACAATCTTTAGGCTTCCATGCCCTTTCAAAATAAGACTTTGAAACAATTTTCTTAGAATGCAGGATTGAAGATGAACCTTTTGAAACTTTGGTTTCACTCAAAAACTCAATTCCTTCACTTTTAAGGTCATGACATTTTTCCACAATATTAACTTCTTCAAGTTTGTCAAATGAGTTGGGGGTTGGATTGAAAATATTTAACTTTACCTTCATGTGGCTAAATGAGATTTTCATTATCCCCATCCTACAATTGATGTTGGCATTCGCGGTTGCTAAGAAAGGACAGCCAAGGATAATGGGAATTTGGCTCTTAGGATTCAGGACCGGTTCCGTGTCAATGACAACGAAATCAACGGGAAAGAAGAATTTATCAATCTTAATCAATACGTCCTCAATGATACCCCTAGGCTTTTTGATGGATCGGTCGGCAAGTTGTAAAACCACCGACGTCGGTTTCAAGTCTCCTAAGTCTAATTTGACATATATCGAGTATGGAAGAAGATTAACACTTGCTCCTAGGTTAAGGAGAGTCCGATTAATGATATGATCACCAATGATGCATGAAGTGGTAGGTGAACCGGGGTCCTTAAACTTTGGAAGAATGTTATGTTGCAAAATTGAGCTCACTTGTTCAGTTAAGATCACTTTCCTAAGTGCTTGGCTTTTATTCTTCCTCTTTTGGGTGCACAAGTCCTTCAAAAATTTGGCATAAACTGGAATTTGCTTGATTGCATCCAAAAGTGGAAGATTAACTTTCACTTGCATAAACACATCCATAATTTCATTTGCTTTGGCCTTTTGCTTGTCATTTGAAATGGATCCTTTTAAGGCATCCGGAAATGGAGCTTTTGGCTCAAAAACCTTTTCAGAAATTTTCTTTGAAGTCTCTTCAACACAAGAAGTTTTGAAATCATTTTGCAAATCTTTCTTTTCAAAATCACTTTTCAAATCACTTTTCAACACATTCTTATTTGAAAGATCATGCATATGCAATGAAGGAGGAATAAGATGTGAAACGGGACGGGTGTCAACTTGTAGTTGCACCGGTTCACTCTCTTCATTGGACATACCCACTTGGTTGTCCACAATCTTCCCATTTCTTAAGGTAGTCACCGCATTGACATGCTCTATTGTGTGACCTTTTGATGAGGAATGAGTCTCCACAACACATTGTTGCTTTTGTGGGGTATTCAAAGGCATTTTCCCTTTCTTTCTAACATTCAAAGTACTAGCTATTTGCCCTACTTGGGTTTCTAGCTTAGCAATGGATTGAAAATAAGAATGAAGCAATTGAGTGTTAGCCTCTAGAGTACCTAGAGCAGTCAAAATTTTCTCTTCAAAAGCGGGACTTCTAGCATTTCCTTGGGAATATGATTGATTGGGAAAGTGAAAATTTGAAAATTGATTTCCTTGCGATTGGTATGATGATCTAAAACCTTGGGAACCTTGGCCTTGCATTGGAGGTAGAATGTACTTTCCTTGAAAACCACCTTGGGAAGGGTTTGAGCCCTCCCCTTGGCTTTTCCAAGAGAAGTTCGGGTCATTTCTCCAACTAGGATTATAGTGATTGCCATAAGGATTGTTCCCATGGTTAGCAAAAACAGCATTTGTTTGTTCATTATGCTCACTTTGCATATGTCCATGGGGACAGTTGGAAGTAGAATGTAAAACACTTAAACAAGTCATACATGTCTCATTAGATGCATAATGAGAATGGTTAGGGAAGGAAGATACTGGATTTGTCGAGTTTTGGTTGATCAAGAATTGATCAAACTTTTGATATAATGATTTCATCTCGGCGGCAATTTCATTGGAATGGTCTACTTGATGTAAGTCAACACTCTTCTTACCACTTAAATTCTTACCATTCTTCGAAGATAAAGTTTGATGCAAAGAATTCTCACTCATGCTCTCATAAAGACACCACACGTCATCCTCATGCCTATCAATGTAAGAGCCACCTATGGAAGTATCAACCATGCCCTTGTAATTATCCGATAAGCTCTCAAAGAAATATTGAACTAATTGCCATTTGGGCATGCCATGATGTGGACACTTCCTAAACAATTCATTAAAGCGTTTCCATGCCTCATGGAATGTTTCCCCATCCCCATATGAAAATTCCCTAATTGAAGTTCTCATGGCATTAGTCTTAGAAACCGGATAGTACTTCTTCAAGAACTCTTGTTGCATTTCTGCCCAAGAAGTTATTGAAAAGGGTCTAAGATTGTTAAACCAATATTTTGCCTTGTCTTTAAGGGTGAATGGAAAAAGTTTAAGCCTTAAGACCTCTTCTGGCATGTCCGTGTATTTAACGGTGGAACATACTTCAGGAAACTCATCCAAATGCTTGTAAGGTTCTTCACTTGGAAGTCCATGATAATTAGGAAGCATTTGAATGGTTTGTGGCTTGATTTTATAGTGGTGTGTGCTCTAAATGGTGGCAATTGAATACATGTGGGTGCATTATATTCATTAGGCACATAGTGATCTCTTAAAGCAAGGGGAGGATTAGCAATTGGCAGTGCAACATGGGCACCTTAATTGCCTTGGATGATGGGAGGTGGTGGAGCATACATTGGCCTTGGTATTCCCAACGGAACTTGGTCTTGTTGTTGTGGTGGATGAACAAATGGCTTCGGCATGCCTAATGGTACTTGCATGTTATCATGATGCACATTGGGGTGGAGGATACCTTGTTGGTCTATATGACCAAGGTCCTCTACATGGTCCTCATTGTCAACTTCTATTGATGAAATGGATTGACTAGAACTTCCTTTTCCCCTAGGGTTTCGAACAATGGATTCAAGATTAAAATTTAAAGGGACAAGAGTGGGTCTCAATGATCTACGACCATGCATGCACAATGTAACATAACAAGCAATAATGACAAACACTTCACCTTCACAACAAATCAACAATCAACAAACTTCCTCCACATACAATGTTCCATACTCCCATATTATCAACAATATACAAAGAAAAGTAAATTGCCTCCACGTGGGCTTACGATTTATCTAAGAATTGAAATACAAGCCTCCACGCGGGCCGACGACTTAACTAAGGGTTAAGTAAGGAAAAGTTCACAAAGGTCATTTAGCACTTCAACTCCAAATTTTTTTAGCTTTTAGTTTAGCAATTTTTTATTTTTTATTTTTTTTATTTATGATTTTAGCCTTTTTCTTTGTTTGCTTAGCTCCTTTGCTTGGATGCTCCTTTGCTCACCTTCTTAGCTCAATGCTCCTAGTCAAACAAGAACAAACTCAATGAGTAATTAAAAGAAAAAAAAAAAAAAAAAAAAAAAAGCAAAATAAAGACATGATCAAAGGAGTACTAATTCCTAATTGATTCCACAAATACGACGTTGCCTTCAATAAATCCTTGGCAACGGCGCTAAAAACTTGGTGGCTTTTGTCGCACACCGACCCAAAGTTTGTGTATCACACCAAAGATAGTTGTGTAGAGCTATGATGAATGTGGCCAAGTTTTACATTTAGAAATTGCCACTACTACCTTTCACTAAAAATATAGTTAGGGCAAGTAGGGATCGTCCCATGGGATTAGTGGATCGTATTAGGTTGAGGAATCAAGATTAGGGTTAGTAGGTCGAGTGATCAAAATAGTGGTTGGTTGGTTGAATTACACTAGATACAAATTAAACTAAAGTAAACAATAATGCAATAAAGAGAATAAAAGAGAGAGAGAGATTTTGGGGTTTAGAGATCACCACTAAGCATATTTTTCTACACCTTTAATGAATGATTAATGAGGGGAAGATATGTGTTGCAATATTTGTGTGTGTGTGTGTTTGGTTGTTTCAATTAGTAAGGATGACCAATTAAGTATATATTGTCTAAGCAACATAGTGAAAAGCACAATATATCAAACTAAACCATTAATCATTTCATTAAGCTCACAATCCAAACACATCACAAGGTTAGAGACATATGCTACTTACATTCAAAAGCATGGAATATCAAACAACAAGCATGGATTGTCCTCCCATTTAACATCTACACTACAACTATACTACAACTAAGCTAATGACATGAAATTAACTAATTAAACTAAGGGAGAGGTACAATCCATCAAGAAATGAGTATGAACCATCAAATAAATCACAAGAGCATTTATGGCCACCCAAAGCCAAATTCACGTAGTTTTGTAAGGATATGAAACATGGCGTCTTTTGTCACAAGACACGAACATTGGATGCAATAGTTGAAAGAGTTGCAACTGTGGTTGTCAATGGTTGCGATTGATTTATGTAACCTTTGGGAAATAACGGTAATAGCATTTCAACCATTCAACCTGTAACCATTCTCACCATATATTCACGTTGTTACAACATATACACAATGTTATGTTATGTCAACGTTTATAACCCAAACTTACAAATATGGTCTTACAACTATCCTTACTTTCCAATTTATCCTCAACCACGTTGAATCACGTGTAAAGAACACCATTCCAGTTAGAGACTCCTTGATTAACAACTTCCATTCACACCAAATTTCTAACAATCCCCCACATGAATGGAAATTGGCTACTAAAATGCAAATGATAATACAGACACTAGAGAGAGTATTTTTGAAAAGTTACTGCATCAGGATTGGTAGTTTTTGGCTTTGAACTTTCCCTAGTGTATTGCTATCGGATTTACTAGCTAACCAGTGAACGCGATGTCTTGAACTGTTCAGCCGTTTGTGGAAACCAAGACAATAACAAACATACAGTAGCCTTCCTCACATAGTAGGTTCTCATTGTTGTGTTCATTTTGGCCCTGAACAACTCCTGGCATTCATGAGTGCTCTAGAAAACATAGCCTTTATAATTCTCATAGAAGCGGCCCCACTTCACACTCATATAGGTGACTTCTTATTAAGAGTATCCTACCATACCCCTCTTGAATTTTCAAGATATAAGAGTCATTAAAAGCGTAGCTTATCCTAATTCTCGCTGTAGGTAGCATTGTCTCACGAAATGGGCAGAAGATTTATATTTTCCCAGTGCTTCTGGTGAGTCACTCAGAATTTCTGTTCTCTTTTTGAACCTAGATCTTGGGATCTCCAGTCAGCTAGGTTAGTTTTCCATTAAGATGACTCGTTTGCTTTCAGCTTTAAACCCCATTCCCCTTAATGATCCGTACAATTGTTCTCTAGTACAATCCTCAATTTTATATGTGGCCATAAGATTGTGTTTAGAAATATTATACTCTGCAGAGATTTCTCCAATTGAAAGCAAATGTGTACTTTGTGCCCTAAAATTGCTTATTGTTAGCAATATTATTTTCTTTAGTGGCACAGGTGTAGACTTATTTTGAAATGTCCTCTAGGTAAAGTCTATTGACTTTCCTATTTGATTCATTCAAAGTTTCTAACTTTTAGTTATATTAAGAATATACAACTACAACTTTATGATTAAAGATATATCTACTCTTGGATTTGAAGTCTTTAATATCTCACATCTAGATTGCATCACTGTTACACTTCCAATTAGTTAGATACCTCGATTTATGCAATATTTGACTTAAGGTGTATCTCAACTACTCAATTTATTGCTTTTCAGTGATCCTATCCTAGATTGAAATTGTGTAATTAAGCACAGTTATTAAGATGCCTTGCAATCTCAACCAATGATATACTTTGACTAGTATTTATATATGAGATTTACATCTACAAAAGTTAGCTACGCTTTTGTTGTCTTAACTAGTATTATCCCAATCTCACTCTATTGAGAATATACTATATTATCAGATGTTAAATCTTTCATATCAAATATATAATTAGTATATCATTATTAATTTTTTTTTTTAAGGCATACAATGACTTATGCATCACATTTATGTCATTGTCTCGGTAGTAGCTTTAATCCACTCAAAGACTTATAAGTTTACACATTTGACTTTTCAACTGGAACAAATAACTCAGTTCTTTAGCTGTAAAAAGAACTCTTCTAGTTGTTCCATAATATTTTCCTCGTAGGAAACAACATGCACTATTGTTATAATACTATAAATGATTTTTGGTTCTATCCAAAATCTTTTATGATTTAAGAACCCCCACATTTGTAAGTATTTCTTATCTGATGAGGTAACTCGTAGCAAATTTCATTTATGGACAATATTCCCCCACAACTTTAGGATAATCTTGAAATTTTATATATGATATATTTCTTATGGTTTTCCAACACATGAAATACCATATGTTAAATATTTCACCTCATCTACCTTTCCAAGATTCTATATTTGCTTCTCAAAGAAGCATGTATAATAGTCTCTAGTGCATATAAAATCATTTTATCTCTAGCTTGTTCTTATAATATGTCACAGACGTTGCTGTGAATTAATGTTAGAGATATTAATTACAATGGGCTCTAATTAATATTTGCTTCTATATCTTTTGTATTTATGAATTGAGTTATTCATGTTTAGGTTCATGTTAAGTCAGTCATATTAACATGTCATAACCTTTCATGTATCACACATCATATAACTCAATCATTTAAGCAAATAATTTTCTTATTATTTAAGCTTTGAATACAATCACCACAGAGTGAACACTCACTTCTCAACTATCATTACTAGTTAAAAGTGAGTTCTTAGGTATCATTAGCACTCTTCTCATATCTTACTTCTAGGTTATGACGAACACCCACTTCTCAGCTTTTACCGTTAGCTTGAAGTTAAGTTTGTTTAGCTATCAATTCTAGTAGTTCATAGCTTTAGTACACATTTATCTAAGTAGTCTACATTGGTAGTATAATAATTTTTTTTGAAGAATATTCTTCAAAAACTACTACTTTACAAGTAGTATTATTCTCTCCTACATGAGCAGATATGATGTATAACTCAAATACTTTATGGCTAAAATGGTTACTCATCATTCTCGTATTTTTTACTACCAAGTTGAGAGCTAGAACCAACTAACAGATTTTCATCTTCCTTTTAGGTTCTGTGCGCCTCATTAATCATTTTAGCTTATAGCTAAGCTGACTAATTTGCAACTCAGTAACATTTTAACTTGTAGCTAAATTGTACATTAGAGCTAACTAGCTTGATTTAACTTGTCTCAGTGTACTTACTTAGTGTATCCATAACATTTTTCATTAAACTCTTTAGAGTTATTCGAAAATCTTCTCTTATTCAGCCCATTCACAGCTATACGTGTCTTAAACACTAGTATAGATCTTTTTTCCTTGACTATCGGGAGAATTGACATAGCTAGACTAGTCAATTTTTGTTTGTTGTATTACATACACAAACCAGTCATGAACTCATACAAATTTAATAATGTTACATATTAAATAAATTATATTGTAAAATTGGATTAATATGCACACAAAGTAATTCAACTACATAGTTTAACATTATAATCTCAAATAAAACTAAGCACTTAGATAAATAATATTGAACTCACATAAATAATATAGTTTAATATTATATCACATGATTAATTATATCGCATAATTAATCCAAGAAATAATAATATTCAAGAGAAGACTTTGCTTCCTTTGTGGTTCATTCTCCAATAAGTATGTTAGAAAATAAGGACCAAAGGATTTAGACGTTCTAACTATCCTGCTATGTCTAAGATCATCTTTATTTTCGTTGTATAATTTATGTACAAGAAAATGATATGTACTGCTGTTATGAGCATAACATATCAAAGGTTTTATGTAATGAACCACTCCACCACACAGTATGATATTATTTATTTTGAGCCCGAGCCCACACGATTTTGTTCTTAAGTTTTATCCCAAAAATGCCACATATCAATAGGAGATAACACCATCACACCCCCACACTTTTAAGAAATTATCGAAGATTTATGACCTTTCTATAATTCATATGGTGTTACATTAGTTTTCTTTTGAGGTATTTTATTGAGAATATAATTTGTAGAAAGCAAAACTTTCCCCCCACAAATTCTGAATTAAACCAGAACTTGTCAACATAGCATTCATTATTTCTTCGTGAATGATATCATGTTCTGAACAAATATCAGCAAATGATACTTCGTATTCACGAACTTTATCATTTCTTAACACCTTGATCTTTTTGTCAAGTTAATTCTCAACCACATTTTTGTAATGTTTAAAACATTTCTAAGGCTTTATCTTTGCTTCGTAGCAAATAAAGATAACATCATCTTGTGCAATCATTGATAAAAAAAAAAATAAAATACTTTTTTCTAACTCTAGTTGACACAAATTTAAGATAATATAATATACTACATAATATTATATTACAAAATTAAAATAATTCAATCAATATTAAATTATATAAATAATTCAAGAGTCTACTTATATAACATGCTTCAATTTCATATAATATTGAACACATCAATATTTAGCATATTACCATATAATAAGGTATATAACATTATTTTATTATATCCCAATTATTAATATAATCTTCACTTGCTTATATCTTAAATAGAAGCATATAATAAAATATACGCAAGGATGAGTATGTCTTAAGATTGTTAGTAAAATATATGTTTCATGTGACTTTTAAGATATAACAACCCATATACTAATATGATATGAGATAATTAACAATATCCTAAGAAATGATTAATTAAATATGCAACTATATATTTAATAAAATATGTAAAATAAATCAATAAATTAATAAATAATAAATAAAGAACCTGGACCGAGGCTAGTATTGGATACTATGTCCTTAAGACAGATTTGCCCCGCGTGCTAACAGACTCAATGGCGTCTATCTCCCAGGATACAACGGTTTACATCCATCAGTAATAGCACTACAAACTCGTGAACATGGCGAACCTCCTTTGTGTAATACTCTCTCTAACTCAAAAATGCATCTATACTACATAAATAATGAATTGGGTGCAATCCCAACCAAATGGCTCAGACCAAATTTAATATAGCTCAATGAAATTAGTTTTGGGCCTAAGTGGCTCAGACCACTTGACCATGGCTTGAACCACCTACTTGGGGGGTTCATGTTGAGAGATGGAGAGAAGAATGGAAAATTGCATGAATTAAAAATGATAGCAGCCTGGGGTATTTATAGAAAAATGTGGTGTCTCTTGAATTGGTCATGTCTCTTCAAAAGTGGTGTCTGTTGGATTGGTTGCCTCTCTTCACTATATTGCACCTTTCCAGATTAACTAGGTGACTTTTACTTCTTTAACAGTCACGTCACTTGCATGTTCACCATCGGTATATCCAACTCTCGTAAAACCGTAACATTCATGTTAGCCTAACATGACATTCATGGCCACCTAAAGCCAAATTCACATAGTTTTGTAAAGATATAAAACATGGCGTCTTTTGTCACAAGACACGAACATTGGATACAATAGTTGAAAGAGTTGCAACTGTGGTTGTCAATGGTTGCGATTGATTTATGTAACCTTTGGAAAATAACGGTAATAACATTTCAACCATTCAACCTGCAACCATTCTTATCATATATTCACGTTGTTACAACATATACACAATGTTATGTTCTATCAACGTTTATAATCCAAACTTACAAATATGGTCTTACAGCTATCCTTACTTTCCAGCCCATCCTCAACCACGTTAAATCACGTGTAAAGAACACCACTCCAGTTAGAGACTCCTTGATTAACAACTTCCATTCACACCAAATTTCTCACATTGTACACCAAAAGATGATGAAAACGCTGGAGCTTTAAGATCTGGATAGGCAACTCAGTTACATTGGTGTTTTTGAGATCCAAAGTTTCAAAGTTTTCAAGCTTACCTATGGATTTTGGAAGCATTTCAACCTCTGTTCTCCTCAAGCTTAAATACCTGAGATGAAATAGTTTGCCAACTTCATTTGGAAGTATCTTCAAAGAAGCACCCCTCAGGTCCAAAACCTTCAACAACCTAACCCCACCATTGAATAATATAGGATTCAACGACTCGGATATAGATTCTTTCACCGAAAACATGAGCAAGGAATGGAGTTGAGGAAAATGATTTGAATGCTGCAAGTTCCCCAAGGTATGCTGAATTGACAAGCGCCAAACTTTTTCCGGCCATGTTGTGCTTTCTTTGCTTACCATGGCAGCAATGTTTTGTTTTCTTGACTTTGAAGTAATTACTTCACGGAAAAGGTCATGGATGCGACACTCTCTCAGCCTTCCAATATCATTTATCTTTGCCATTTAGACCAAGCTTCTATTAATAAGCTCGTTGAGATAGCCTTCTGCAACTTCTTCCATTGTCAGTCGCCCTATCTCTTTCACAAATCCATCTGCGATCCACAGTCGAATCACTCTCATGCGCTCAATCTCGTAATCCTCAGGGAATAAACCCAAGTACAAGAAGCATATTTTTAGATAGTAAGGCAAATCATAGTAACTCAAAGTGAGTATCTTTTTCACACTCTCAAGTTTACCATGGCCTTCTAACTGAGCACCAAGGCTACGGAGAAACAATTCCCATTCATGGGTTATACTTTTGTCTTTCGTAGCCAAAACACCACTAATTGCCACAATTGCGAGTGGCAAGCCCTCCCACTTATCTAAGATACTTCGTGAGAGGTCCTCTAAATGTGGAGGGCAGTGGTTGTCTGGGAATGTCTTCCTACGGAACAGAGTCTAGGACTGTTCTTAGGACAATGGTTTCATGGTATAGATCTGATCAGGAGATTCTACACAAGATGTAAAAGCTACATCATTAATGCGGGTCATGAGCAGTATTCGGCTGCCACTATTATTGTCAAGCAATGCATATTTAAAAGCATTCCATGCATCTATTTGCCATACATCATCTAAAACAAGCACGTACCTTCTCTGTCGAAGGAAATATTTGATTTCCGCTTTCAAGTTATTGCTGTCCATGGTTTCCAATCTTTGAGGGGCCGGGCCGGTTGCTTGGCTCCATCGAAGAGTCTTCAAATTATGTTTTTGAGAAGCTCTCTGAGATCAAATGATTGACAAACAGTGATCCAAACATTCCATGCATGATTCTTCACCTTCATATCATCATAGACTTTCTTTACTAGGGTGGTTTTTCCCAAACCCCCCATCCCCACCACTGAAACAACTTTGAGTTTGGGAGTGTCCTCCACAAGCCACCCAATCAGCTCCTTCTTGCGCCCATCCATGCCCACAAGCTCAGCTTCTTCCAGTAGAAGTGCATCACCTCGACTATCATACCATGTGTTGCTGTTGACGATGGTGGAGCTTGATCCATGTTCTGAGATACTAAATCTATCATGGTATCCTTGGTATCTTTGATGTATAATTTCGACTTTGGACTTTATTTTACGTATCTCAGAACCAGTCTGATGGCGAGCTTTCAAGTTCTTAATAGAACAAGAAATCTTACGAAGAAAACCATAGAATCCATCCCCGTGATGATGAGCAAGGCGAAGGATGAATTCATCTAGGACATCTTCGGTGTCATGAGCAACTTCTCTCACTTGCTTAACCCATACTTGAAGCTCTGGGTCAAGCTCTTCATTTGCATCAGCAACTCTCAGAAAAGCTCTTATCCGCTCCAACTCATTTCTGATGAACTCAACTTCTTCCCGAATTCCTCCCAGAAGTTTGGCCTCTTCTAGAAGGAGCGGTGTCAGCTGGTTGATCAGAAAGGTAACTGCACTCTCTGCCATTCTCTCCTCTTTTTTCTCTCTCAGATAACAATAAAGACAGAAGGTTTAGATGGCTTGGCTCCCCAATCTCAGTATGAATTTGAATATAATTATGCTTTGCTCTGATTCATCACTTCATGTTGTGTTCTGTAAAAAGCAAAAGAACCCTATTCTTATTGTCAAGCGAAGTGATTCCTTTCATTTGACAGTGAATGGATACCTCTCCTTGAGCATACATTTTAGAATAGAAGATTTTAAGAGAGAACGAAAACAAAGAAGTTAAACCAAGGTTATTTTTTCCTGAGAAAAGTTATTCTTGTCTTTGAAGAAGTTAAACAAATGAACTATGTTATTTATTCAGATTATTTTCTAAAATATTGAGTTTGGAAGTATATGCCAGATACTTTTTACTTCGTAAGTTGAATATATTTTTTACTCGTAATTTCAAATGCTTCAATTTCACACTATTCAAATCCGAACTTATGAATATATTTCTTACTGAAATAGTTTACTGAACAAGCATGAGTGAATCTATTATTTGCATCAGCTTCAAGTTTCATCTTAAAGATAAAGATGGAAACAATAAAGAAAGGAATACAGCATAATTGTCTATGAACCCTAATTGCAGCATCAACTTTTGGGCCCTACACTACCCCACAATATAAATAGATAGCTTACTGAAAGAGAAAAGAAAAAGCATGAGTGAATCTATTATTTGCATCAGCTTCAAGTTTCCTAATGAGAAAGATGGAAACAGTAAAGAAAGAAAAGCTGAATTCGGAAATTAAAGAAGAAGAAATGAATACAATGAATTGATAAGGAAGAAAGGTATAATGTAAAACATAATTTAGCTTGTTTGCTTCATGAAATCAGCTATTTATGCTTTTAATTAAACTAGAATCCATTTGAGAATGATTATCTAAATTGATGAGGTAGGTTATGTTAGGCAATCCCAATGAACACTGCTTGCAGCATTCCAGCACTTCCCTTCTGAAGAGGCAAAGACTGAATGAATCAAAATTTTGTCCCAACTATTCTCCCAGTGGTTTTATGCAGTGCAACTTTATCATATTTACTTCATTTTACCACTTACGATGGTAAATTTCATCTCTATAATGCTGAAATTTCACCTAATATTATACACCTATAAAAATGATCAAATTCACCATTTAAAATTTTTAATTTCAAAATTAGTAAAGTTCTTCACGGTGAAACTCATAAGATGAAATTCATCATTTAGATATTGAATTTTTAAATGAGGAAGTTCATGTTGGTGTAATTAACCATTGCAAGTGGTGAAATTTCAAGATAAATGTGATAAAGTTAAACCGAAGAAAATCGTGAGAAAAAGAAAGTTATTGAATATGTTGTTTTTATGAGCATAAAAAAGAAATTATGACATGAAGCCAGAGGCCAATTTAGCCTAGAGTAGGCCAATTGCCTATTTTATATACTCATTAATTTTGAAGGTAAATTAAGAAATTGGCCTCGGGCTACAAGAAAAACTTTATTGAAAAAGAAAGTTATTGAATATGTTGATGAGTATAAAAAAGTTATTCATCAACAATTGTACATTAATTATCTTGTTTTCATGGCATTTCTGTTATGGTGCTCTTTATTGAGCTCTTCACATTTGTGGCAGCCCAACCCAACCCGCACCCACTGGTATGATGCTGACTGAGTTGGCTCTTCATATATATATCTTTTAATTTGTTTTAGAGGGAGAAAGAGAGGAGAGGGAGAAAGTGGGGCTTGTCTGTTGGGGCCCTTGCCAAAGAGGTGGCTACTTCTAGCGACCTCTCAGTAATTTCTTCTCCTGATTTGTTTTTTATTTTTTAAAATAGTAATGTACTCTGGTTATTTTATTTTTTTCAATTGTATATTCATAAAATATTACTATTCTCCCATTACTAATTTTTTTTTTTTAATTATTCTCTTCATGACTCTCTACATAGCCAAACGATGATCATATGTATATATATATATATATATATATATATATATATATATATATACGCACTACAAATGCTCGTAGATTCTTTTATTCTCTCTCTAAATCGTCTTCCTCTCTCGCACATTTTGTCACATATGGTCATGATTAATAGGCAACAAGTAACAACACAATACCTTCTGAAAAAAAAAAAATATAGTAACAACACAATACAACAACCAATTATAAATTATCACACATTATTATTCATCGACAGCTCAAGAAGAAATTATAAAAAATAATGTTACAACTTACACGAATATATTTAGATTAGATAAAGATGAAATGACATAACATGACATCGACATGAATATATTTATCAATATTTTTTTTCCGCATCATTTAGCAAATTTTTAGTTGGCCACAATAGCTTTCCTAATACTCTGATTCAGAGAGAAGTCAGAACCAAAACTTGTCAAAGAGGAGGCTGACCCAAAACCCATTAACCCTCCCACCGTTTCATTTTGGACTGAATCGGCCCAAATAGAACTTTTGTTGTTTCAATTCTACCATAAGAAGATAGAGTCGCCAAAAAACCAATCCCGGCATTATGATCAGGTGCCAAGCACTACAATGTAAAGACTACGGTGGTTGGGAAGCCTCCAAACAAACCTGTGAAACAGCACTCTAAACGATTATTATGATTGGGTTTTTAGTCTCTCCAACTATAAATGTACTTGGACATTATTTAGTAACCTAATTAGGAAAGCACCCAGCTAAGCAAGCCGTGCACAAGTTTTTTTGAAATTCAATTACAAAAATGGAAAGTAGTTGTTAATTTTCAAAGTTTTTTAGAACTGTTTTTTATAAAAACAATTGTGGTACAGTGCCCACATGATAGTCACGTCAATATTAGACCTGTCAATGGAGCGGATCCTGATCCGATTAGTCGGATATGGATTGAACAAAAAAAATTGATAATTCAATTACGATCCGAATCCGATAATCCATTAACTTAACAAATCAGATATAGATTATGCTGATCTAATCTGATCTGAATAAAATTATACGGAGTATATATAAATAATTATTTATCAATAATTTTACACACAATCAATACTCTTATCAAATTTGTACTAGAGGTAATCCACAAAACCAAAAAATATATATATATCATAATATTATATGTACAATAGTGTGGTATTCTCTCATTCACATACTAATAAATCTCCTAATATACATACTAATACAATGATACTCTTTATTCATTAACAAATAATAAATAATTTTTTTTTTCTTTTTCCTTTCATATTTTACTTATATTTTATTTTATATATTTTTCTTATAATTATTGTTTTTTTTTTTATAATTTTCTTTTGACGTTAATTTATATTTATTTTTCTTTTTTAATTTTTATAAAAAACTACATTTTTATTGAATTGAATATCCGTTTATTAACAAATCAGATTCGAATTGACTTGCAAAATATCCATCCGATTATCGGATCCGATCAGATCGATTAAAATACTTATCGGATTCTGACTGATCCGAATCCTAATCCGAACACCATGTAACTGCTTAAGTTATTAGTTAGAAGAATAAAGAGTTGTCTGAAAAGGAACTTGCAATTGAGAGCACTTGACTTTCCAACTACTTATACTTATATTTTTTTGGTGTTTTGATTTTTGTAAGTTGTGTTTAATTTAAAGTTGTTAACCTTGAGTCTTATATATCTTAATTTTTATTTATTTTTTTTTGTATTATAAAACCATAAAATTTTAACATTCCCCCACTTGAATGACAGCCAAAACTCCATTATATAAGTTTGATGTAGAAGAAGTCATTGATATCATATACCAGTAATATAAAGGAAATACTCAATTATAAATTCAAATTCAATAAATAATATATAAGTAGTTATATAATGTGGCGCATTAATGGGGCCTGCCTCCGCCTTTGAGCCCAACACTAAGCCTGGTCCACATATTGGGCTGGGCTACAAATTTTATTTTAAACTCTCCCATTAATATGGCCTGCCTCTGCCTTTGAGCCCAACACTAAGCCTGGTCCGCATATTGGGCTGGGCTTCAAATTTTATTTTAAACTCTACATGGTGGTTGCCTGAAGGATGCACGCCTCGACCTGCTATGGCCCTCGAGCTCATCATGGCTCTTGTGATGCTAAGTATTATTTTTTTATTTCTCTAGTTTTATGATTGAACGTGCGTCCATTTGTTACTAATTTACATCAGTGTTGCTCACTGCACAATTATTCTAAATAGGTGCCACTATCATATTACTTTGGCTTTAGACTTAAATTTTGCCACTTTCATGTTAACGTTTCCACTCTGTCTTTTTTTTATTTATTATTTTTAGTTTAATGACGGAGAAATTTTCAATATTTCATGATGTTGCTTTTTTAAGCATAAAATCTGGTTCAAGTAGCACTGAAAAACCAATAATGTACTTATGCACATCCTTTCGCTCACACGCTCTGCGGATACTCGATCTCGTTCTTATTTTGCATGACTTAGATATTGTCACTTTCAACTTTTTGAATTTGCTCCTACTCTTGTTCTTACATGACTTAACTCCTAAACATTTTTTTATGAAACAACTTTATCAACTCTTTTTCCTTTTTTTGGTAAGTAATGCATTAAAAAGGAAACAGTTCTCAAAGGCATAGCAGCGTTGGCACTGATTAGGGAGGTAAATTCTTGAGGTCTCACTTTTGAATCACATTCCTGACTTGAACGTATGTGTGTAATGGGGCCAATACACATACTGTAAGAAGAAAAAAAATGTATTAAAAAGGAAAAAATGTACAAAAGGAGGGGCAAAGGCCCAATGACCAAAAGGGCCAAAAACAATTACAAAAGGGGCTCAAAAACCCCACCCACCAAACTAGCCGTTACTACCCAAAAGCAGCAGCAGAGCTCAGTAAAGCACCAAAAACTCAGAGCAGCTACAAAGTACAAAACTATGGAGGTCTGGCACTGATCACCGAGCTTGAAAGGCTCCAATCAGCGAAGACAAACCTCGAAGTAGTACAATCAGAGAGACGAGCAACATAAAGTTTGCACCTAATATCGTCCTTTATTTGTTTGCAGAGATTCTCTTGAGTCAAATACTTCCCAAGAATGTTCATTGTTTCTTC